GTATAAAACAAATAGAATAGCTATCTATAACATATTAAAAATGAATTATATGTCCTAAATATGTTGTATTGATATTGAATGATAATATTTACTAAGTCAGAAATTTTGGAACACTTGTGTCCGAAAAGATAAGATAATCTTTAGAAACTGACCTTTTTCTGTGGGTTTAAACCCTGGAAAAATAACTCCTTTCAATGATATAGTAGGTTGACATTAACTCCCCATATGCAAGCGCCCTCTATCATTTACTAAAAGGTAACATATTTTAAAAACTCTACTACCTTTGAACTGTGATGCCAAAATAAACAGGAATCCAGAATATTCAAGTGCTGAATAGTTTTTAACATTCCTTAAAGCTTTGAGCAAGTATTAATCCATGCAGGGACTTTTCATATGCAACTCAGCTCGATAGGATGAATCAATCAAAACACACCACCTGCTGCTCAGTAAGCTGGACTGGCTTCTTTCTATCATGTGGACAGTATAGTGTTCACTTGACAAGGAATTGAGACCCATGCTACTAGTTTAAGAAAAGGGTTGTTGGTGGGATTTTGTTTGTTTGTTTATTTAAAAGATTTACAGTCTTTATCTCATAGAAATCAAGAATTGAAACTAGTACAGCCAGACTTCATGGGGAACATAATAGGATATTAGGTCTTTTTTCTGTCTCTCTTGGGGTCCGCATGGTTGCCTCCCTAACACTTTCGTTAATTTCTTTCTGTTCTTTACAGAGGGAAGAGCGATTCCTAAAAATTTAAGTATGATGCAATTTTCCAGTAACCCTCTACTGGCTTCCTATCTGTCTATGTAAAAGCCAAAGTCCTCACACAGGTTCATAAGCCCTATATGATCATTTCACTTAGCCCGTATCTAACCTATGCCTTATCATTTACTCTTTTGCTCCCACTGTGCCAGCCACATTTTCCACCTTGCTCTTCCTTCAAATTAAAAAGAACATACATATCTTAGGACACTTGAAGCTGCTATGCACTCTGCCCAGAACATCCTTCCACAAATATTAGCTGGCACCTTCACTGTATTTATGTTTCTGTTCAAAGGACATATAGTCATGTAGGCATTCTTGACCATGCTATCCCAAGTAGTAATTCCCTCATTACTCTTGAACTGCATAATTTGTTTATTCCTACAGTTTATCTACCTGATAACATATAATTTATTAACTTGTGCTAATCTACCACCTCCTACAACAATAAGTTTTATCACAACAGGGACTTTAATTCATTGTGGTATCATTGCCACCCAAAACAGTGCCCAGTACATAATAGGAACTACATATGAATGTTTTGGAGGTTGAATTAAATGAATGACTATTACTTCTAATCTCTACTTCCTTTTGCATCTCTTTTTTTTTTCCTGCTGAATAGTTCTTTTTTATATTAGCTAGCAGTCAGTTCAGTTATTTCATGACCTTTAATTTACAATGTTCTCTAGCAACTGATAACTTTTCTTTTTTCTGTTAGTTCAAATTCCTGAAAATCTAACTGGACAGGTTAATTTTTTTTCAGTAAGGCCACACAAGACCACAAATTTCTGGACAATCTCCAGTTGTATTATTTTCAGTCAGGTATATACACCTATCTAATAAAGCTGAGCCACCTCAGAACATGGCTGTGAAGGCATGAGGGCCTGTGGGAAGACATCCAGGCAACATAAATATGTCTAACACATAAAACTGTTGCAGCTTCATCTGCACCAATGTTCTTCACTGTCCCAAGTCCTACTCATTAGTCTGACATAATTCCTCAATTCACTCCATCGATCTTTTACTTCCATGTTTCCTCTTCATCAGATGACTCCTCCAGGCTTCTTGTTGTTCTTGTTACACTTCTTTCATCACAGACATAACTATGCATTTATAGTTCTCCTATGATAAATAAATTCATGCTCTGCTTGACCCTAAAGACAACAAAATGACCCCATACTGTCACTTCCCCAAGTCTACCCCAATTAACTTTGGAATGGTAAGCAAGAAATATCATGTGCCTTTACATAGATCCTGTTGTGGACACACCCTAAGGTGACCCCCAATGGGTCATGCCCTTGCCTAATCCCCTGTTGTTTTGTGTGGATGGAACCTGGTACTTCCTTCTACTCAATAAAATATGGCAAAAGGGAAATAATTATACAGAAGTAATTCAACTCCCTAATCAGATGATTCTGAGTTAACCAAAAGAGAGGTTGTTTGGGGTGGTCCTAGCTTAATCAGGTGAAATTTCTTGAAAGAAAGATTGGTAACCTCCTGAAAATGAAGACACATTTTCCTGATATCCTTGAAGAAACAAGCAACCATGGGTTCTACAACCGTAGAGAAATAAATACTTCAACAACCTGACTAAATCTGGAAATAAATTATTCCGTCAAGCCTCCGGATAAGAATGCAGCCCAATTGGCCTCTTGATCATAGTCTCATAAGACATTGAGCAGAGGACTCAGCCATGTCTGGACTGCTGACCTGCAGAAACCACGATTTAATAAATGTATTTTGATTTAGTCCACTAAATTTTTGGTAATTTGTCATACAGTAATAGAAATCTAATACAGATCCTCATTCTAGTTTATTGAAAGAGACAAACATTAAGAACCCCCTATTATTTTATTTCTTTAGACCTCGCGGTGTGACTTTGTCTTAAACTTTTTCTTTTCTTGAGTTACACATATTAAATTATGGAAACTGAAATAATATCCTTTACTTCCTTAGTATCTTTCTATTTCGGGATTTACTCCTTTACTATATTTTCCCTGTTCTCAGTGTTTTAAAACTAAGTTTAGACCTTTCAGAAAACAACATGTTACCATAATACTTTTCTTCCTCCCTTAACCACATAATCATCTCTTCTGCATGCAGCATCAGCTCCTATCATTTTCAGCTCTTGGTTCTGACGAGCATAGCCCCAGTGTCTTTGACTATGAGATTCATATGTTCACTCCTCTCATTAATGTCTCACTTTTTTCTGCTTATACATGTAAATATTTAATTTACTTAATTTTTTCAGTAAATTTATTCTTAATTTTTTAAATATTTACTTAAACAATGATTAATATTTACTTGATATTTTGTAAAACATGGGAATATTTACTTAAACAATGATTTTGTAAGGTCAAGATGTTTATGTGTGAAAATTTATCCCTGATTTATCTACATGTTACATCTGAATGTTCATGTAAATTTTATTTGGTTAGACACATCTATATGTGGTCACTGTATATTTGTTTATTATTTATATGTTTCCAAGTGCTATTTATTCTGCTTGCTATCTTGAACTATACATTTGAAGTCTGGACTTTCTAAGAAGTCTATAACTATCGGCCGGGCGCGGTGGCTCAAGCCTGTAATCCCAGCACTTTGGGAGGCCGAGACGGGTGGATCACAAGGTCAGGAGATCGAGACCATCCTGGCTAACACGGTGAAACCCCGTCTCTACTAAAAAAATACAAAAAACTAGCCGGGCGCCGTGGCGGACGCCTGTAGTCCCAGCTACTCGGGAGGCTGAGGCAGGAGAATGGCGTGAACCCGGGAGGCGGAGCTTGCAGTGAGCTGAGATCCGGCCACAGCACTCCAACCTGGGCGACAGAGCGAGACTCCGTCTCAAAAAAAAAAAAAAAAAAAAAAGAAGTCTATAACTATCCTTCAGCATAGAAGTCATGTAATTTAGTAGTCAGTTATTTAATAAATAGTTTTCAAGTTCCACAGTGCTAAAAGCCAAAGGTATAGAGACATGAAGAATTAACATTCCTTTTAATCTCATCTAAAAACAGAACATCTGTTTTCAGACCTTTAACAAACTCACAAAAAATTACAGTATAAATATTTGGTATATACTGTCTGTATTTAAAATAAAAATTTTACTTTTCTTCAGAATATGTCTAGTGGTATGCACTTGAAAAAACAGTATGTTCATTTATTATACAAATGGGAATAAACACTTGAGATGAAATACTGATGAAGGAAACTTCTTCTATGTTTATTCTGCCAGACATTCTCAAAAACTGATTTGAGAACGAAGTGATTAAGAATTTCTGTTTCCCAAGGGGACCTCACAGAGTACATAATCAATCTCTGGTTCACATTTCCCTGAAAACAACAACAACAACAAAAAAAACCACTCTATATAAGATTCTGATTAAATAATTTTAAAGTGAATTTTTTATTTTTAAAAAGTGAAATTCAAAATCATGATGCAGTGATAGAAGTCAGAATCAGGGCAGAAGTGGGGTTCACTCACCTGCAGGGAATGAAGAAATATTTAATGATTATATTTCTAAATGCATATCGCAGTAGACAAGCCCTAAAATGTTCTATTCAATTAATTAAGCTTATATCTCATCCAGGTATACCGAATTATTCTCTTTAAGGGAAAGAAGCTTTTGGAGATTAATAGTGGGAAATTAATTGAAAGAACTTTTTTTTTGAAATATTAAAGTCATATGAACACCTGATCACATGAAGTATAGCTGAAACTGCTTTTCCTTGTTATCATACTGAAGTCAGTGTAATGCATTGATAAGAAGCAGACCGAACATTTCCAAATGTAAGGTTCATAATTTTTCAAAATAGCAGAGCATGTTTAACACACTTGGATTGCGTTAGTTCAGAGGGATAGATTTCTCTTTTGGAAAGCTGCCTTTGAGTTAAATACACAAACCCTGAAACTTCTGAAAGCAGTCAGTGTTAATTATCTTCCTTTGAGATGAGTCACCGACAAGCAGAAAATTTGCCATCTCGTGGTGTTTGTACATACGTGAAATCTATTTTTTTATTTTATTGTGAAGTATGAAAGACAGAGAACATTCATAGGCAACAGAATGAGATCTTCCTGCAATTTTCTCTTTTTTTAATCCACAAGAATGTGTAAATAAAACCGTTTGATTATTTAACAAGAGAAAAAACCATTTGGTTATTTAACAATTTTCTGACATCCTTGTTCCACCCAGTTGTTATAAATTTGCTGCAGCTGCTTCGTAACGCCTCCAGATGGCGCGCTGGTGCCCGTTCTCGCCTCCCAGCGACCAGCCAGTTGCCAGCTGCTGGGGAGAATGAGCTTGGAGCCGCAGGGCTTAATCCCGCGCGGCTCAGAGATGGGTTTCTGGACTCGCGAAGCAGCTGCAACAAGGCATCACTCACTGTACAAGTATTTCCATTTCTGAGAGCAAAAGGAAGAACTTAAGCGGGCGGCACTTGGAGTGTAAATTGCTTTGTAGTATTTAAAGGCAGAATGGATCCTGGGCAGCCGAGCTGGTACGTGCAATAGAAACTACTCAATGGAATTGTTCTGGGTAGGACTGGTCTGATCGTCCTTTGTGTACCAAACGTTGTGTGTCCTGGATTGCGCCTATGTGTATACACCCATTTCATTTTCACCAGGATCATGGGGACTTGGGAGTCATAATCTTTCATTTTTCCAAAATGATATAATAAAAGCTTTACAGAACATTGTTTATTAATAGAAGTGTGACATGAGTCACAGTCTTTAGAAACACATGATAATGGTATAAAAATGCTTTTCTTCTATGTTTCTTTTTTAGAGAAAAAGAAAGTAAACGTAACCTGTATCACTGTGCAGTGTTACTGGATATGACTTAAAAGACAATGGCAAAAAATGTTTGACTGCCGTGGAGTAGACTTTTACCTGTAGGTGTAGACTTAAACACACCTGTAATATATCAGTGTTTTCAAATCTGTGTGCCAGAAAAAAAACATTGTGTAGCTATAAAAACACTACTTATGAAAAATGCATGTCATGAATGTGTACATTTTGTATGGTCTGATATGTTTTGTGAATGTGTGTTGTGTATACGCACACAATAACATGTATATGTGACCTAAATGCAGAATTATTATCGTATGATTACAAATAGGCATGTGCTGAACATAGATTAATTTCTGAACCTTCATACGCTGTATGTCTGTCTGGATAACTTAGTATGCAGATTATCTAATGCCACAATATTAAATATGAATTTAAAAGAATATTTTGTTTTCACTGTTACACTTTAAATTTGTTGAATTCTATTCGGTTGTGCATTGAGTTTTCTATGCATTTAAATTCTGAGGAAAGGTTGGTTTTTATATTTTGAACATAAATTATTGGCTGAGATGATTATGTAGAGATAGGATTCATAGACATATAAACATAGGTTCCCTAAAGTTCAGGTTATATGTGGAATTCACAAGAGTTAACAGTTTTGAAAACTCGAGAGTTCTGACCAAGAGTTTACATTAGAAACAAGAAAATTGAAAGATTCAGGACTAAGTTGGACATTATCAAGGCTGAGGGTGTACGTTTAGTAATATTACTCTAAGATTAATGTTAGACTACTTATAAACTTGTATAGATTCCCTTGAACAGATGTTGTTCATGAACCAGTGACTGAATTTTATCTTCTATCATTGCACATAAGCAAATATAACACGATTCAATACAAGAAATATGACTTGCAAGTGAACTAGGTAAGGTAGCATGCTAAATAAAGCCTAATATACTGAGAAAAGTTAGAAACTATAGCGTCCCTGCCCTCAAAGAGTTGCCATTCAAATGACTAGGTTAGGTATGTTCATGAATACGAGTACACAGTAAAAGACAAAATAAATGCTATTAAAGTGAGACATGCACAGGTGTGTAGCATTTAAATTGAGGGAAAAAATCTAACTTAGGGGCATTAGTAAGGCCTTCACATTGGAGAGCCCCCCTCTAAAGAGATGGATTAAAAGAACAATTTTTGTAGGTGTGAAGAGGTTCTGGGCAAGAGATGTATTCGGGTCAGACATGTGGTTTGGGTTGGCTATGGCTTTCTCTATTGGTCTCAGAGGTAAGGAGTAAGAGATAGATAATATTATGCAAATAGGCTGTGTAATATTGAAGATGATCTTGAACATGGGACTGAAATTTGTGGATTTCATTATCAGTTCATTCCCAGTGCCACTAACAATGTAGGCATTCAGTATTCTTAAAACATTGAATGTTCTGTATAACAGCAAGAGCCAGCACAAAGTTTTAGGATATTTGTATGGTTTATGTATTGCATGTCTACCATATTAGAATGTAAGTTTCAAGACATAGCACTGTTTTTCAGTATTATATCCTCAGAGCCTAGAAAGTACTTGAAAAAATATTTATCTACTGAATGAATTAATGACTAGTAAAATTGGAATATAGTCAGGGTTCTATATCATTCACATTTAGTTTTCCTGATGGTCTTAAATTACTAAAATCCTCAAAATTTACCAAGTCTTTGAAGCTATTGTATCAGCCGATTCCACTTATGGCTCAGGGACTTCTAAGCAAGTTCCCTGGAATTCCACTATTAGTATTTAATCTTACGCTATTTTTAACCTCTTTTATGAATAGTCTTGCCTTTACATTTTTTAAATGGTTATTAAGATAATTATAAACCATGTGATTATTCAGGCAGAATTAAACAGTTCCTCTTCATATCCCTATAGTAGACATAGTGAGTATATAACACACATTAAACAAATACATTCAGGAAAAGAGTTGAGGGTTTGAAGAATGTCTTTGCTCCCTGTAACATATGTTTACCTCCTTATTAGAACACTTCTAATATTTGGTTCTCTGCAACTTGATTTAGGCGAAACTCTCTAGAGCCTCTTTATAATTTTGTATATGCAGAGTGATCATTTGGGAAATCCTTAGCTATTTGCTTACATAGTATTTGGGGACACTGTGATAGTTTCTATGGGTCACAGCCCCTGTCCCCCCAACAGCAGTGGTCCTCTTTTTTGTTCCTGTGTGCTGATATCTATACTTTTTATGAACAATGACAGGAATATGTGGAGAAACTAGTGAAGAAAAAAGTTTTTGTCATTTGAAAGGGTGATACTGGGTGAAAAGATACAATCATTTTAAAGGAATTTATAAATGTGATTTGCCCAACTAAATTTTAAATGAATGCATAATGACTTGTAAATAGAAGGGCCGAATAAACAATGTCACTGAACCAACAACTTCAAAAATAAACCCCTGGGGTTTCCCCTGATCCTCGAGAGAGAGCTTTCCGCTGTGATAACGATTTATATATCTTAATTTACTTGTATATCACTCATCTAAAAATACACTAAAGTGGAATTTCTCACTTTAAAAATATATATCGATGGGGTTTATGTGTCAGTTCAACTGAGGATGCAAGCTTTTAGTTTCAGCTTGAGCTAATCTGTGCGAAGTCAGGCTTTTTCTCCCAACAGTGTCAATAAGACAAATTTCCACACTAGCCTGGTCTCCATCCTGCTGGACTTGCTGGTAATGCTTTATTTTTATCCCTTTGAGAGGAGGTAGTATGGCATGGTGGCTGGCCCAAGACTTTCACCTTATTCAAAACCCTAGTGTGTGGCTTGACCTGGAGATTAATCTTTCCCTAATAGATTAATCTATTAGAAAAAGTATACCTTGTCTAAATACTGCTGGGCATTCAGTTTTGGAGAAATATACTGCAGTGTGTACTGCAGGATTTTCCCCCTAGTGGTTGACTTAAGGCTGTTGTATTACAACAATAGAAATAGACTTCGTATATGGAGCTGGCTTGGTCAATATTTTCTAACTTATGTTTTTAAAAACTTATTTCAGAAGAAATGATTATTTCTTCTGAATGACCACTGTTAAATGATCATTTTGAAAGATACAAATACAATGCCCTGAACAACATGCTTTTGTGTCTTCTTTGGAAAGCTGGACATACAAAATTACACAAAAACAAAATATATACAATTAATGGAAGTGTTTCTGCTACTAGATTCATACTGTACTCCTTTTTCTGGGTGTAGTGGAAAGATCTCCCTCTGTGTATTCTAATGTTACTATTTTTTATCAACGGTGACACTGAATCAGTTTAACATGATTTTTCTTTAGCCTGTGTGACCATACTATAAATTCCTTAAAAGCAGGAAACAAATTCCATGCTTTCTTTGAATCTCTGTATTATACTAAACATACTGCCAGCCACAAAGCACTTAAGTTTATATATATATATATATTTATATATATATATATAATTAAATATATATATTTAAGTAGGGTCTCACTCTGTCACCCAGGCTAGAGTGCAGTGGCACAATCATGGCTCACTGAAACCTCAACCTCCTGGACTCAGGTGATCCTCCCACCTTAGCCTCCAGAGTAGCTGGGACTGCAGGTGCACACCAACATGCGCAGCTAATTTTTGTAATTTTTGTAGAAATAGGGTTTTGCTATGTTGTCTAGACTGGTGTAGAACTCCTGGGCTCAAGCAATCTGCCTGTCTCAGCCTCTCAAAGTGCTGGGATTAGAGGTGTGAGCTCTCTCCTGGACCCTGCCATTTTTTTTTTTTTTTTTTTTTTTTTGACAATTGAGTAAAGATTAAATTATAATTTTTTCACACTAATTAAAATAGTAGATACAGTCATATAATAGCAACTTCTAAGGGACAAAATGGAAATCTTTCTAGTGTTTCTATATACCAAGAATGTTATACCTGACACATCACAGCAGAAAGAGAAAGCTCCTTCTCCTTAATTAGCTGTTAGAAATGAAACGTCTTTTTAAAAATATTATTTGAAATGTAGAGATATCTATAAAGACACAAAACTTGCCTTTACTTGGTAGAGCTATTTACGTCTGAAATAGCTATCTTCTAGCATACCTGTGTCTCTAGGGTGTTGTGTAACTGCAGGTGGAATATTCCAAAGTTAGAACTACTAAAAGAACAAATCAGAAGAGTTCCTAGCAGTAAGAATTAACCTTAAGGAAGCTTAGACACATTTATATGCTTTAGAGCTGTTCCTGGGGAAAAAAATCATGCATTTTTTATAATGAGCGTATTTATAAGCATACCCCCACCTGCCACCAAGATGTATAAAAATGAGTTAGTAGCTGCAAACTGCTATTTTAGCAAGTGCTAGAGGAAAATAACAAAGGATCTGCGGCTGTATTGTTAACAGGAGTGAAGAAGCTTCTCTTGTGTCTCTGGACCAAAGGCTAACAGAAGAGCTTTTGGTTACTAAGATGTATTCTTTCCTGGTCTCAGGCTCATTAACGATGGACGTAGGAGGGAGAGCATATAAAGCGGCAGCTGCAGCTGTGGGCACTCAGATCATTTGTCACCTGGCATGAAGTTAGTGTTGGCAGCTCTGGAGCTCCAGCACAGAGCACCAGGGAGCAAATGCCAGCTGATTGTTGTTCCTCACCAGCTTGCTGGCTAACTCCTACTCATTCTTCAGATCTCTGCTGAAGTGTTGCTTCATCCAGG